AAGTTATAACGTATCTGATTTTGAATGTAGTGACTGTATATTCAAGTAATCACAATACCTAAATATAAGTTAAACAGTGGGAGAGTGACTCAACTCTCAAAACGTGAAGTATGTGGCGTGAGATGACACGAAGGCTCTATCACTGCAACTCCGAAATCAGAGCACATTTGAATTAATCATAACCGAAACTAAATATGTTGGTTTATACGATCATGTCTTTTATCTTTTAAACGTCCAGATTGATAAATCCTTGAAAAGACTTGACTTGACTTGCTAGACTTGATTAGTTTTGACTGTGCAAAGTTCTGTATTATGTTCTACAATATGAACTTAACAAGAGGCTTCCTCTAGTTCGGTGTAAAATCATAGAGCGACACGAAGGTAAGCGCATTATTGTTGTTATTTTTTTAACTGTCGGATTATAATTAAGTATCAATGAATGACACCGTTTTGAGTTGACTGTCATGGTGTGCGCATGAACGAATCTGAAATACCTGCTAATTACGTTGCTTTTTCCTATCACTTATATTGGGCACTTTTTGCATTTAAACTGGATTATTCTGACTGCTGACATTGAAAACCATGCATGTGTTGTTTCGAGGGTATCGGTTAATTTCATGATTGCCGTTTTGACAGTGTCTGCTTGCATATTTTATTCATGTTCGGTAGCCTAATTCTCTTTAATGTAGGCTATTCGCCCCGATTTGATCCGTTTACCTGCGAAATTTATCTTATTTATAATTTATATTAGCCTATTTTGTCGTCAATATTTTGTTTTAAGGAGTTAAAATGGCCCTTATCAACCTTGATTTACATATTCTATAACATTATGGAATCTTCCCTTTATGTCGTCATACGGGGAAAGGTTACCTCCCCTTTCTCTGCTTTGCCCGCCCAGAGAATTTGGCTCGCCCATGAGAAAATGAGCTACTACCTTGTGAGGCGAGCGAAATATTTTTTTTTCCTCGAGAGACATCATGGCTTGCAAACGAGCGAAGCATGGCAGTTGCCCCGCCTCTCTCCTCCTCATTAGCATTTAAAGCTACAGACACAGAAATGGCACGTCCTAAGGAAAGCTCATTGTGGGACTGGCTCGTAGTGGCTGAAATTCTGCACCAAGGCTGAATTTCGGGAAAGAGACTTCAGATACAGTACTAGGGACCACTTAGGCCTATATAAAAGCATCCAAAAAGCAGCATGTCATGGGACCTTTAAGGAGTTAAAATGGCCTTTATCAACCTTGATTTACATATTCTATAACATTATTTTGACATTTAAAGTTTTGGGCGGGTTTTTGTGAGCTTTTGGGCTGGAAATCGTCCATCCAATCTGGCAACACTGATTGATCTTGCTGTAGCCTTGGACAGAGATGTTGAGGTGCTTTAACACTGCAGCCCATGAATTCAGATAAATGAACCCAACAGGGCCTCTCGTACCTCATGCAGCTTTTTACTGATCTCCTGGAAGACAGCGTGAGCTTTGAAGCCCTCTAGACCCGAGTATGAGCTGGTCAACACCGCCTGGATGCGTGGAGAGCTGGGAAAGACAGAAATACACACACTCAGAAAACATGGTTGACAGATTAATTCACCCTATAGCTCTTCTGTGTGATCCACGGAGGAAAGTAAGTTCAGGTTTGAAACCAACAGTGCGAGTTCATACTTTTTGGGTGAACTCTCTCCCCCTTTAAGTAGATTTGCACAATGAGGAACACGCTGAAAGAATCACAGAATCCAGTCACATTAATGGAACTTATGTATAATGCGTAATGACACAAAATTGGGCAAATTTTACATTGATATATTTTATATAACATGTTGTTTATTTTGTTATATATAGGCATAAGTAGATATGCGTAAAGCATGGTAATACAAACATAATTTTATTTGCACAATTACAGTGCATTTTAAATGCTGCATTTACTACTAAGTTCAATCCACTGTCATCATTCAAAACACTCTGAATATTTCATATTAGCGAATTAAAAACAGAAATCCTGTAATAAATGGCACACAAGCATGTAAATGACCTCTATATGCTGCTGTCACACTCTCAGCTCCGCAGAACCATTAACGCACTCTGTGTGATTATTATAAGCACATGATGACTGAAAACTCAGGTCTGGTCATCATCATCATCATCTTCCTCACCTTGACACGTGTGGGACTCGCATTGTTGCTGAATATGAACTGCAGACAGACAGGTGATCAGAAGGCCGCTGGCACTCGATCAGCAATACATTTGTATCTGAACGCTACTTCCGGGTTCTGTGGCCATGAGGCAGACCTGAATAATCTCACACTGATCGAGAGGATACATAAGAGTGATTGTTAAATTCGCAAAGTAGCATATACTTTGATTATTTATACATTTTATGTAACCTAAATCAATAAGAACAGTGTTAAAGAACAAATAAATTATGTACTAAAGACAAAAAAAAAAAAAATGATGGCACTAACACTATTTTTTAGGTGAGGCATTGCTGCCACACACATATAATTTTTTCCACTCAATTATGTCGTAATAACTCGTTATAACGAGAAAAGATGTCGTTTTAATGAGAAAAGATTTCGTTTTAACAAGAAAACATCTCGTTATTACGAGAAAAGATGTCGTTTTAACGAGAAAAGATGTCGTTAAAACGAGAAAATATGTCGTTTTAATGAGAAAAGATGTCGTTTTAACGAGAAGAGATGTCGTTAAAACGAGATAAGATGTCATTAAAACGAGAAAAGATGTCGTTTTAATGAGAAAAGATGTTTTAACGAGAAAAGATGTCGTTAAAATGAGAAAAGATGTCGTTTTAATGAGAAAAGATGTCGTTAAAACGACATAACATCTCGTTATTACGACATAATTTAGTGGAAACAAAATATGTGTGTGGCAGCAATGCGTCACCGTACGTCACCGTAATTTTTAAATGTTGTCCAAAAAGGCTAGATTAAGTTTTGGGTTTACAGTTTTATCAGTCCTTGGGCTGCTAAGTGTGTCTGGACACAAAGGACAGAACATCAAACAATGAAAAATCCAGAATCCCATATTTAAAAAGTCAAGTCTAAATTTAAATAGGCCTTTATAACACAACATGCAGCATCAGCAATGGCTGGCAATAAAATGGTGTACCTTGAATGTTAATCTACTTGCAGAGAAAGAAATAAGAGATAAACAGAGCAATAAATAAAACAAAATAAAAGGGGAAAGAACTGAAAAAGTTCAAAAGTCAAAACAAAAAATTCAACATTTACATTTTTATACATAACTATTATTCTAAATATGAGAATATAGGATGTTCACTTTGGGTTTTGCATTTTCGTGAGTAGAATGTTCCCCTAATCTCCATAATCACAGTGCAGCTCATGAATGGCAGCTGTGCTGCAGTAATATTTTTCAGGCAAGTTACTTGTACCACAGTAGCTACTGAAACTATCTGGATTTGGCATTTTCCGAACAATAGTTATCAGTGTACGTTGTATCTATGTACTCACTAATTCAAAAGAGATTCAGGCTCCAAACACGCCATATTTACAAACAAATAAACAAACTAAATAACTAAATAAATGCATGTCTTGGATTAAAATATGTCAATCCTGTATCAGTCTTGTAGATGACTGTGGTCCTTTCCTCTTTTTGAGAGTGACAATGATGCAGTGGTGGAGCATCTTATATTATAACACTTTAAAAATGTCTTTTATACAGATTTGTATAAGATTATAACACTTTATAAATGTCTTATTCTCGTTATTATTTTCTAATAATATTTATAATATCTATTATAGGCCTATTTCAATAATAATATTGGATAATTGATTAAATAGCAATCGTCAAGAATGCGAAAATCACTTAATAACATAAAACTGTTTTCTAAAGTAGTTTTTGTAAAGCTACACTATGTCATGGCTATTTACGTAAATAGTTTTGTTCTTTAGTAATAAAAAAGAATCTAAGCAAAATTGGATTTGTTGTGAAGCACCCCCAGGATGGTCCTCTGCTGTCATCTGCTGGACAGAGGTGGTTAACTATACACCTTCTATTCAAATACAGAAATGATATTGCATTGTGAGTTGCTACATGCACCTACTTCATTATTAGCCTCTCATTGTTAATTGTCACCATTCATGCTTATTTTATGGAAAAAAAGATGCAATGAAAGTATTTATTTTCTCTTTTTTTGAGCAAAAACTAATAAGTAGCTTTATGTTAATGCTAATCTGCTTACATTGCATTTGATTGCAAGGAATTAGGTGAAGCTATCATTCACTCACAGGGTTATTATAGTTAACTAAAACCATTTTTTTTTTTAAACGTTCTAACTTTCGTTATTTGAAATAATATAAACTTTAAAATAAGTGAGAAAATAAGTTTTAAATGCATTTTTTTAAAACAATAATATATATGCAAATGTATTTAATAGGTAAGGCCATTAAATAGCAATCACAAACTAGTTTTTGTTAATACGGTAAATTTGGTTTCACTTTATTTTACAGTACATGCACTTACAGTGTACTTACTGTATACCTAGAAAGTACTGTAATATAAGGTAACTACATGGGGTAGGGTTAGGTTTAGGGGTAGGTTCAGGGTTAGTACCTGGTTATTACCTAGTTGTTGTAATTACTATAATAAGTACATAGTATGTACACGAGTAACAGGACTGTAAAATAAAGTGCTACCGTAAATCTAGTAATTGCTATGAGCCACTACAGTCATTTAAAAATATACAAAATAACACAAAGTGAAAATAAAGTGGCATTTTGGGGGTAACGGAAACAACAGTCACCATAAAGTAAAGTAAATACCACAAACTGTAGCTCAGCTGTAGCGTCTAGACTTTAAGACTAAATGAACTGCTTTATTAAATCTGTAAAAAAAAAAAAAGGACCTACTCGCTGAATTGCTTGTGATTACTGTATCTTTGAGCTTTTTAATTTTTTTTTAATCTGAAAATTCTAAAAGTTCTGAATGCTTTGACTTTTTTTGATGTACAAAATAACGCCACGGCTTTTAGGCATGTTTTACTTTCTAAAAATACCCAATTAAATTCTACGTTTTCTTCCCACTGGAATAAATGTATAAAGGTCTTTTGTTTAAGAATAAATTCATTTGTTTTGAAACCTACTGTACATACATCTGATGCTGGTTAGATCAAATGTTGTGACCAGATCAGATTTATTTCTGTTTCTTTGCTAACTGGCTTAACTGGCCATACAGGTTTTATAGCCTATATGCCTGAACTGATGAAACTGAACTGACTGTTCCTTTTGTGTTTTAGTGTGACTGAGAGACTGAGAGACCCAGCTGTGTATCCATGAAGAATAATGCATGTAATGCAATGGAAAGTCCACCTTGCTTTAGTTCAGAAGACTTTTGTGCTGATGTCAGGTATTTATAGTCTTTGCACATTCAAAACATGTATTGCATGCATATTTACTGAATGAAACCCATTACTTGTTTCTTACTCACTTTGCGGTGCTGATTTCAAAAATGGTTTCTGTTTTTCCCTGGAATGTGACACTTTCTCACAAGATATGATTCATTTCATAGCATTTTTGCTTTCGACAACCATTTGTAAGGTGAAAAGGTTTCTGTTCTCCCTTAAACTGCCAAAAGACATGTCTTCCCTGTCATCCCTGTCTTCTTCTGAGCCAGATTATGACGATCTGTGCAATTCTCAGTCCATTGTCACATGTATGAATTATTCTCAAGACATTATTTTACACCTAATCTTCCACTTTCCACTTCTTTTTCCACTCCTTTGCAGATTGTAGGTTAAATAATACATTATTTTTGAATACTTTCAGGTGCACAGTTAATACATATACATTTATATAGTTTGACAAATCTTATCTTATGTTAAGTCTGTACATGATGGAAAGAACTCTGGATCATCAAATTAAGTAATAGTAGGCCTTTTTTTTTTGTTATTTTTTCAATGTGCAGGGCTATGTAATCTGTTGTAAGGAATAAAGAAATTTAGCGGACACTGTATTCCGAAGCAACATGGAATGAGGAATATAATGATTCATCCTAGTATGCTAATGCCCCTACTACAAATTTATCATACAATGTCACACCCAAGAAACCTCTTCAGTGCCATTTGGATCACAAATTTCTGCTGTTTTTTAGTCTGACTGAGGAAGAATCTCCTGGACCCAGCTGTGTGTCCATGAAGACTGATGCATCAATGGATTGTCCATTTAAATTCAGTTCAGGAGACCCTTCTGCTGATGTGAGGTGAGGGCAGCCTCAGGTTTAGGATACCTAATTCTTACTAAATGCTATGCAATCATTACAAATATTTACATGACTGTTAAAGTGATTTATAGCCTGAATCTGATTTTGTACTTGTTTTATAAGTTTAAAGGTCCCATGGCATGAAAATTTCACTTTATGAGGTTTTTTAACATTAATATGAGCCTAGCTTGCCTATGGGCCCCCAGTGGCTAGAAATGGCGATAGGTGTAAACCGAGCCCTGGGTATCCTGCTTCGCCATTTTGAAAATGAAAGCTCAGATGGCCCAATCTGGAATCTTCCCTTTATGTCGTCATACGGGGAAAGGTTACCTCCCCTTTCTCTGCTTTGCCCGCCCAGAGAATTTGGCCTGCCCATGAGAAAATGAGCTACTACCGTGCGAGGCGAGCACAATATTTTTTTTTCCTCGAGAGACATCATGGCTTGCAAACGAGCGAAGCATGGCAGTTGCCCCGCCTCTCTCCTCCTCATTAGCATTTAAAGCTACAGACACAGAAATGGCACGTCCTAAGGAAAGCTCATTGTGGGACTGGCTCGTAGTGGCTGAAATTCTGCACCAAGGCTGAATTTCGGGAAAGAGACTTCAGATACAGTACTAGGGACCACTTAGGCCTATATAAAAGCATCCAAAAAGCAGCATGTCATGGGACCTTTAAGGGTAAGATAATGAGAGTGCCAAATACATCTCAGATTGTTACTGTGTTATAGGCTAACTGAGGGCGATCCTCCTGAACCCAGCTGTGTGTCCATGAAGACTGATGCATCAATGGATTGTCCATATAAATTCAGTTCAGGAGACCCTTCTGCTGATGTGAGGTGAAAACAGTCTTGTGGTTATAGAGATAAATCGGTTAATAATTATGTGTTCTTTAAACTGGACGAGCAGTGAAAACAGTGATTTGGAGGTATGGTGTACCTGTACACTAACTATGTGTTATACTTTATGTATTTGTATTTTTACAATAAACTCGTTTACTGTACATGTAGAGTATGTTAAATATTGTATGTATTTAATGTCTGAATA